ATACAATATAAATGAATACATGTGTCATTCACATACATTTATGACTATCATACACATGTATATACGTATGACTTACAATTAAAGCCAAAAATTTTTAAATATTTGGCCATCCAGGGATTGAACCCGGAGCCTTTGCATTGAGCTATATCCACAGTCTCCAAACCCTTTTAAAAATACTCATTTTAAGGCACATTTCTTGGATTCCTTAGATTGCCCAGGCTGGGCTGGGAACTTGCCATCGTCCTGCCTCAGCCTCCCAGAGATAGGATTCCAGGTGTGCATCACCAGGCAGCATATCTCCTCCTTTTGGAAAGCTGAATAATGTTGTGTCAATAATGGGTCAATTTTATTGTGGCTAGATGCTTAGTTGGGTCCAAGCCTGGCTACGGGGAATCATGCTGGAATGAAGGAGGGAATACACGTGGCCCTAAGAGGTAAGGTGGTTTGTTTTCTTGGGCAGAGGGCCAGTGACTCCTATCAGTGACTGAGTTCTAGTTTGGGGGAAACTGTTTCCCCAAATGATGACACTAACATATTCACACCGACAAGGTACTGGGCTCCCGCACGCTCATCGATGCTCCCAAGCTGCTCCCTGAGGGGCTGTGCTGATGGGCAGTAGGTGATGTCCGCTGTGGTTCTGATTTGCACCTTCCCATTGTGAGTGACATGGGGCAGCTATGGAGGGCCTTTCCACAGCTGCCCTCCAAAAGTCATGCACTCGCCAGGGTGCTGTGGGAGGTGCTTGGATCGAGGGAGTGTGGATTGGCCCACAGAGGCGCTCAGAGCCCAGAGAGGGAGAGGGAGCGTGGTGCTGGGAGCTGAGGCTGGTGGGAGGAGGCGGGCACTGGGCGTGGCCCGGGCGGTCCGTCCCACTCCTCCCCCTTGATCTGCTTCCACGGTCTTACCCAGCACTGTTTCTCTAGTGCCGTGCACCTCTGTCCTGCTGCCCTGCTTTGGAGCCAGCCAACTATGGACTGAAACTGTGACAAAATAAACCTTAAGAGCTGGGCGTGGTGGTGCACACTTGTAGTCCAAGTATTCATGGAGGCTGAGGAGGAAGAATCACCATGAATTTGAGGCTAGCCTGAGCTACATAGCAAGACCCTGTCTCAAGAAACCCCCTAAAAATTTTGTAAAACTATAGTTTTTTTTTAAAAATTAACTTTAGGTGACCAGAATCCACGCCTGTGCCCAAGACCACACCGGAGCTGCTCCCACCTCCTGCAGGCCAGGCTCTGTGGTGCGCACTCTCCCCTCTGGAAGTATGATGTGCACCTGGGCCTGGATCCCTCCCGCATGCACCTGCAGTCTGTCAGAAACTCCTACTCTTCTCCTTCCCTACTTAGACCCTGCCAGGTGGGCTGACACTCCAGTGCCACCAGAGCCACAATGGCTTGGGGACAGCTTCAAGACTGTAGTGCACCAGCACTGGCCCCAGGAGCCTCTGTTGGCCTACACTCCTGCACACTTGGCCTGCACTCACGTGTCTGGCATTGAGTCGAATGTCTACACAAGAGCTCACAGTCATCCGGGCACTCTCCTGAAGCCCAGCCCTGTCTGCTTGGCTCTCCAAGCCATCCAAGTGGCTTCTCTGGCAACCCAGAGCCAGGATGCCCCAATACAGATGGCATTTGTGCAAGGGCAGCTGCCCCAGGGACTGTAGTCACTGGTGAGGTGAGGCCACGTGGTCCAGGATCTCCATGCTCTCCTGCTGCCACCCGGAGTTCAGGTGCCACCTGGGGCTCCCCAGCCCGAGGTACTACCTAGCCTCCAGCTGCTGCTGCTTGGGGTGAACTCAGTTACAATGTCACTGTGTCACTGCAAGAGTGGCCTTGTCCCTTAGGAAAACCTTACCCATGCTTCGGTTACACACTGATCAGTATTCCCTAATAGCCATGCGTGTGTCAACTTTCAAGGGAAAAGAAAGTGTCTTCTGGAAGTGACACATGGCTGCAAGGCAGAGGCCTGGGTCGCAGCCCCTCTCTGCCCCTCCTAACTGCCCAGCCTTGAGCACAGGGCATCCCTGTGCAGCTTGGTGCTCTCTGCCTGGAGCTTCAGTTAGGAGACAGCACAGACAGAGCCGGGTCAGTGGCGGCTCTTGTCATTAAGCCAGACACCCACATTCTAAGGGGATTTTGCCAAGTTCTCAGGCCCCCAAAATTTGATAACAAACCATCTTAAAATGACCAATATTGATAATATGCTGTTAACAGTTATTGATCCTATTTGTATGCTTTCTCCTCATCGTCTTAATCTTTTAGAAAGGTTGGGCAATCGAGAGTGCATTTGGCTGCTATTCAGCGCGTGGGATGGGGTGGCCAGAACGCAAATGCCGCACATGGCCACCTCAACCAGTGTGAGCCGCAGGCCGGTCAGGAGCAGCCTCTGCAGGAGGCTGAGGCAGTAAGCCGCCAAGGCCCTGTGTTCTGGGAAGACATATGCACATCTGTGCTCAGAGCCAGCAAAGACTGACTGAGCCCTGCAGTCTGGAAACAGCGGGGGAGAGGGAGCCTGTGCACGCTGCCCAGCAGCACACTTTGCTGCGCAGGCCTTCGCTGTTCCCGTCTTACAGCAACCCAGGAGGCAAACGTGGCACTGCACAACGTAGAAATGGATTCTTTTGGTGTAGTTCAGGCTATCCTTGAACTCTCTTTGTAGCCCAGGCTGGTCTTTAACTGCCAGCGATCTTCCTGCCTCAGCCTCCCCAGGGCTGGGATTACAGATGTGCGCCACACCTCTCCCAGTTTGGATACTGAGTCTTGGACATGGAATTAAGCAAGGATTTTCCCCAGCTGTGGAGCAGAAGAACTAAGACTCAGATCCAGTTTCCTTATTTCTTTTCTTTTTTTTAAGACAGGGTTTTGCTATGTAGTTCAGACTGACCTTGAACTCCGAATGCAGCGCAGGATGGCCTTGAATTTATGGTGATCCTCCTGCCATGGCCTCCTGAATGCCTCCTGAATGCGTTTTTGAGACAGCGTCTTGCTGTGCAGTTCAGGCTATCCTTGAACTCACCAACACGTCCAGTTGACATCCAATTTCCATGTGACTCCAAACCCGGCCTGTTCCCCAGAACGGCTTGCTGGGTGACCTCCAGGAGGCCAGGGCATAGTGTTCAGTAATCCATACCAGGCTTTGCCTCAGAGGTGTCCATAAAACTTTTGTTTACTCTGGGAAAAAATGCTGTAAAACATGCTGATGTCGTACAGACAACATTGCAGAGAGCACTTCGCTTAAGTACTTTCTGATAGTTAAACATCAGGGCCACAGCTGCTGCCAAAGAATGAGGACATTTTATTTAAAATTACACTGGCGCTAGACCATCAAAGCACCCTTAACATTTTCATTAAGTTGAGATACAGAATAGTTAGGGTAGTAAATCTCCCCGAGCAGGAGTGCCTCAGAGAGCCAAGCCTGGAGACAGAAATGAGCTTAACATAATCACCACTGCCTCAGCCCAGAGAACACGAGCCCCGGTCCCGAGCCCTTTGCGAATGGCCAGGCCCACGGGCAGCAGATGGTGGCCCAAGAAGCCCTCGGCGCACATGATTGTCCGCAGAGCCTCAGCACCTCCCAGCACAGGAGCGAGTCGGGGAGCCACCGCCTCCCAGCTGTGGGCATGACTGTCTCTGTCGGCAGCACAGAGACCTTGCCCGGTCCCGCCTGCTCCTCTCTGAGCCCCTCCCCTGGGAGAAGCAACCCCCCCCACAAGTCAGGAGGATACCAGGTGGCCGCACGAGGCAGTAGGGACAGTCTAGTGGCCATGGGACAGGCAGGCTCCACCAGTTACTAAGGACAAGCCGGGCGTGGCGGCACGCACCAGCAATCCCAGCACCTGGGAGGCTGAGGCAGGAGGATCACTGCAAGTTTAGGGCCAGCCTTGAGAGACCAGTCTGAAAAAACCTGAACTACAAAACAAAACATAACAGTAACAGCTGTATGTGGCATTCTGCCTATCACAGGTCCGGGTGTCCACCATGTGGCCACAGCAGCTCCACTGCCTGCCACAGGCCTCCATGGTCTCCTTGCAGGGGCAAGAATGCGGAGGGGTTGGGTGGTGGCACCTGGGTGCTGCGGCCCATGGCGGGAATCTACCATTGTTCCTGGGAGATACAGAAGTGCAGCCATCCTGGGCACGAAGATAAGAGGATGAAGAGACGACAGCCCAGGGCCCCATCGCGGGGACCATAGACCTTCAGCACACTCAGCAGGGACCGCTGAGCCAGGACTCGAGGGTGGAGCCAAGCTCCCTCTCCACGTTGTGCTTCTGCTGGCTCCTCCTTCTCCTCCCCTCCTCTTCCCTGTCCTCCCCCTCCCCTCCCCCTTCTCTGCCCTCCCTCTCCTCTCCCCCCTCCTCCTCCCCTCCTC